CCATTACAGAACAAATTACCAACGATCCTCGATATATGCTATATTTCAAGGTAACTATCAGTGTTTTTATTTTGATACATGATATACTTTAAAATATTATTACGCTCTTGTTTTTCAACTAAACAGAACTGTATTGGTGCAATTGACGGTACACACGTTGATGCCCGAATACCTAACAACGAGAAGGTAGCATACATCGGTCGTAGTGGTTCAACAACGCAAAATGTCATGGCCGTATGCGACTTCAACATGTGTTTTACTTTTGTGGTTGCGGGCTGGGAAGGAAGTGCACATGACAGTCGAATTTTCTCCTTTGCCACGAGGAATAGATCGCAGTGTTTCCCTCACCCCTCATCAGGTTAATTTTGTTTAGTAATTTGAATATGTGGGATTGTGCAATTTTTTATTAACATTGTTTCTCGTACTAGGAAAATATTATCTGGTTGATGCAGGATATCCTATGCAAAGGGGATACCTGAAGCCCTACTCTGACACGAGATATCATCTTCCTGATTTTGAGCAAGCTAGTGGCACAGTTCGTGACAAAAAGGAAATGTTTAATAAACGTCACTCATCTTTACTCGGGGTAATTGAAAGAACATTTGGAGTTTGGAAGAAGAAGTGGGTCATCTTACGTGATATGTCGTCGTATCCTTTCCAAAAGCAGGTGTACATTGTGGTTGCAACAATGACACTACATAACTCATCTGAAGACATTCCTTGCAATCATATACAGACTTCAGTATGACTGACAATGATGAACTCAATATTTTCGAGCAACCAACAGAACATGTGAGGGGGCATTCATTACCTGAGGAGGATATAGAATCTAATGATTTTGGAGATCAAGATGTTGAAAGTTTGGCTGATATGATTGCTTTAAGGGAGTCTATCACAGATGTTATTTGTGACTGTTGATCTACCAAGTTTTCTTTTAATAAGATTGTAGGTTTATATTCATACGCATTTAATTTTAATTTTTTTTAAAAATACCTTAAGCTGACATTTCATTCTTTTGTTATTTTCACAGTTATACCAACATAACCTCCAGAATATCAGGTACAGACACAGGGATTTTGTGTTATTGTGGACTACCGTCTCCGTTGCTAACGTCACGTAAGGAGCATAGCTTCGGGAGTCAGTCCTATGGTTGTGCCAGGGGTGTTTCAGC